AACATTACTTGTATGAGCGGTATAGGATCCTCACCAAGGCATGCTTAGATCTAGAACTTGGCGTCTGGCTCCCGAGATCGAGACCGAACTAACCTACGAATGACAAAGGCATTCTTCATTCGGTGACTATTTTTGTTTCTAGTATTAGTTTTTTTTTCTTTTGTATTTTTGGGTTGCATTTGCCCTTACCATGTTGAATCTTCCCCTCCTTGATTATAGCACATTGCAAGCCCATGGCCCTTTTGTTTTACTTTCACCCTTAGAATCGTGAAGCTCAAGCCATGAGGGCTTATTGTAGTTTTGATTTGAAATTTGGAAGGGAATGGTTCTACTTGGAAAGTGAAGCAGTGTTTTTGTGAATATATGTTCAAGAAAAGCAAATGTAAATCCTAGAAAAATCCTTTGAAGCTTAAAAAAAAAAAAAAAAAAAAAAAAAAAAAAACAGAGAGAATGTGAGAAACGAAGAGTTGATGAATGAAGATGTAAGAGGAAAGCGAAAGCTCAAAAGTGTTTGGCATTATAGTTCAAGATTGTGGCAACGTAGTTTGAAAATTGGTTGATGATTGATTTTGAAAAAGAGGCTTGATCACCCTTTGCTTCACGGTTAGGCTAAGCACCAATTTCCAAATTCCTCCACACCCTTACCCCCTAGCCATCGTTACAACCCTTTCAATGCCCTGTTGTCCTAGGTTGGTTGAGTCACTAATCGGTGGAGGGAGCTGGAACTCAAGCATATGGAGAAGGCATGACTTGGTGAGATGTCGGGTTCCCCTATTTTGCAGTGTTTTATCTTTGTTCCGGCTCCTTCGAGGAGTCACTTGATGCTATCTCCAAGGGCGGATTTGAACCTAGATGAGGGAACGCGGTAAGATTGTATGGAATGCGGGGGGAGTGGTGCATGTTTGAGTTCACTATGCTTAGCATAACTTATCCTTCAATCAACTTTCGGCATCCCCTTGCATGCTCACTTCTACTACTCAGAAAGTTTGACACTCATTCATGTTTGTTATCTCCAAAAGCTCGATTTGGCTATGATTTGTGTTGGATTTGTTGTTTCTCTTTCCCTTGTTTTTGGTTTGTCTTGAACGCAATTTTGTAAGAGTTGTGGGGTATGCTCTCTGGAAACCCTCACGAGATCACAACTCGTCCTCATAGGCGACCTTGGGGTTTAAATGGCTTGTTGCTTTTGCTAAAAGCAATTTGGGTTTTTCTTTTGTTCCTTGCATGTTTGAATAACTAATTCTTTCTCCCTTGTTCTTTTTCCTTTGCTTTGTTCGAGGGCGAGCAAAGGCTTAGCGTGGGGCAGTTTGATGAGTGACATTTATGTCACTCTTAGGGGTAGTATTTAGGTCTTTTTCCTCTTATTTTTCTTAGGTTTTTCCACCTCATTATCCTCTTATGGCTTCTTTTTGTGTTGATGAAAAGTAATGCTTATTTGCGCTTATTTTGATAATCTTTATGCATTATTTTATCATCCCCATGCTCTTGTGAACTTTGGTATCTTCTGCAGGTTCCATGACGGTCCTATGCACGGTGGGAGGCCCCTTGGCCAAGTATGGAAGCCATGGACAAAGGCAAGAGGAGCAAAAGGGAAGGAGAGGAAGCAAGAAAAGGAAGTGCAAGAGGAGGTGTGGCCGAACCTCTGAAAGGTCCGGTCGAACCTTGGTGTGGTCAAACTTTTGAAAAGTTTGACCGAACCTCCAGGGTGCAGTGAAGGCAGTGTCAAACCAGTTTTCAGCAATTTTGCAGGAGAGGTCGAACCTCAAAAGTTCGACCAAACAAGGATCAGGGAGGTTCGACCGAACCTACACAGGGTTCGACCGAACCCACCCTGAGTCCGACCGAACCTACCCAGAGTTCGGTCGGACCTTTTCCCGATCTCAGCCAATTTTGTACGGACTATTTAAGGTCCTTTTGAGATCGTTTAAAAAAGAGGAGAAGAAGGACAGTAGCCTAGTTTTCAGAAACCTCTCTTAGTTTGAAACATTCCTTAGGATTAATTTAGCTTAGTTTTCATCAAATCAAATCATTGTATTAGTGAAATTCAAGAATTATTCTCAAAGTTTGGCAATTTGTATTCAACATTTGAAGCTTCAATTAGTAATTTCTCCAACCTTCTTCCTTTTAATTTCAGATTTTATTTGGTATTTGCATGTTATTTAAATATTCTTTGTTCTTGGTAATTTGTTATTGGATGATAGTTATTTCAATTGTTAACCACTTTTCCCCAATTATTGAAGTATTTAGAACCCTAATTCTTGATTGCATGTTGATAAACATGAGTTGTGAGTAGTCTTCTTGCTAGGGGTTGGGTGAAGCTCGACCTTTTGGGTTAACTATGCAAATGTGGGAGAAGCATTGATGTTTGTATTGCAATTAAATTGATTATATGAGATTGCTTGTTAGTTCCCCATGATAGGTTTAGCTACCCTTGACTAAGGAGCTTGATAGTATGATATGCCTAATTTGACATGGAAGTGTAAATTGAGTACGTCATTACTTATTGTAATTTGATTATGTATCATCTATTGCTAAACTAATGAGGAATCTAAGTTTAGTAGTGTGAGTTGTTTTCTAATTGCATGAGGTTGATTTTACATATAGGTCTATTTTACTCCCCGTTTGCCTATTTGCCTTGGTTGAGTGGATCTCATTCCCTAGTATCTTTAATTCATTGATTTAGAACCATAGTTTGTTTGTCTTCTTGACGAACCCCAATTCACCAATTGACTTCGAGTTAGCTTAAGTGTAAAGATCTTTGGCAATCATATCCCGTTCCTTGTGGACCGAACTCTTACTTGTCATTATGCTTGGTTTGTAAGGTGTTTGTTAATAAATGTGTTTGATTGAGTGTGGAATGTACGACCGTTCTAACGCCCATCATTCCACCCACCCAATTAGACTCCCGGTGGGTATTAGGGACCATGGTAAATATCTTGGAAATTTTTATTTCCAGGCGAAAAAAATAAAAAAATTTTGATTTAGATTATAGGTTAGAAGTCATCATTAGGGTCCTCGTTAGGGTCAATATTGATTTTTGTTTATGATTCTTATGTCTGATTTTTTGTGAAATATATGATGTTTTATGTGTTAGAAATTATAAAATGTTGATGGTCATGTTTGATTAATGAAAACTAAGTGAGAATTCTGGAACCAAAGTCACTCAAACACGTGTTTAGAACAGAACCACAGGGTGCATACACTAGTAGAAAAATGTACATTTGTGTCGCCATATTTGCGTCACTCATTCTAAGGAGCGAAGCAAATGTTTTATTTTACCTTCCTTTTAAATTATTTGCATCGCATATTATTTAAGAAGCGACGCAAAACTCAAGTGCATTTCATCTTTCTATCATTTGCGTCGCTCCTATTTATTAAAGCGACGCAATTAATAAACTTATTTGCGTCACTCATTAGTTAGCAAGCGGCGCAAATAAGTGATTAAGTAAATTGCGTCACTCTTTTACTAATGAGCGATGCATATGTACATTGTACAACATTATAAACAAGGTTATTTGCGTCGCTTTTTTATAATAAAGTGACGCAAATAACTCTTTTGGCTTTAGGTTTTTCAGCGTTTTTTACCTTAGTTTTTCATCAGGTACCTACATTCACTATACAAAAAGAAAAAAAAAAAACAAGAGTTCTTAAATTCCAGCGAATTTCTACAGCAAAACACCCACAAATTTGTCTCTGAAATCCAACAAATTCGGCCAAAAACTTGCGTTTCCCCAGCAAATTTAACATCTGAAATCGCAGTGAAGTCGAAGACCCATAATCGGCTGCAAATTCGAGCAATTTCGAGCAAAAATTTAGACCAAAAACCATAAGAAATTCGAAGCCTTAAACCCAGAAAAATTGATTGTTTTCGACTAAAAATCCCCCATTTCGAGCAAAAAATCAACTCAAAATCATACAAATTCGAACCCTAAAAGCCCCAAAAAATTCAATTTCGGTCTTCAAGTTCGATTGGGGGATTTCGTGGGGGGATTTCTAAGGTTTTTGGCAGCGACGCAATATACCCTAAGAAATTCGTCCCATTTCAGTCATAAATAATTTTTGTTCGAATTTCAGTCAAGAAATTATAGCAACAATAGGTTAAGTCAAGAAATTACAGCAACAATAATTGTTTGAATTACGTCTTTTTCTGGGTTCAAGTCAAGAAATTATAGCAACAAAAATTCGAGCAATAACTGAAATTTTCGAGTGGAAAAATCGCTTAATTTCGCCCCAAAAAACCCGAGGAAGTTCAAGCAAATTACAGCAACAACAATTGAAGTTCGATTTCGGCTCGACATTGTTGAATTTTTGAAGTCAATTCCACCTATGGTAAGATTGCTTCTATTTATGTTCAATCTTTTCTTGGTTTAAGGCTTCGAATTCGGGGAAGATTAATGAGTGTGCTGAGTAAGCTTAATTTGCAAACTTTGGCTATTCTTACATGATTCATAATTATTGTGTCTCTGCTTGGTAATTTTGCAAACTTTGATTTAAGTTATTACTGCCTTAATCTATTCTAGTCTAGTACAAATGTACATTACTTGATGATTTAAGTTATTACTGCCTTAATTGCAATTAAAAAGTCCATTATGATCTCGGGTTTAGTCATTGAAGCATGCTGAATGAGCACTTCAGTCGAGTGATACATTGTTATGTCTATCTTAGTTGTAATTAGCCTAACAGATGATTAAGGTTTACGTGCTCGCATTTGTAAGCATCGAAAAGTCGATATCCATCATACATACTATCATGCAGCTTGATTATTGCTGGCATGCTGTTCAACATACCTTAAGAGCATGGTTCAACCCCTGGCCTAAGATCTGCCTTTTGGTCCAAACTTAACTTTTCCTGCAGTTGGAAATTGAACCTTTTCTGAACTTGGACCACAACAAGCAATTCAAGAATTAACATAAAAATATAAATATAAATATAAATATAAATGGAAGTATAAAATGTCAGTGTAATCATTGAAGTGTAGCAAACTTAAAATTTACTGTAATGAAGCTTTAGGTGTCGGCTCCTGTAATGGTCTTCACATATTCATCAGTTCTGTAAGACCTTTTTGTTTTGCTGGTATTAGAAATTTAGTTTAAACCTTTATTGAAAAGGAGGCAATGTCAGTATTTCTTACTCAACTAATGTTATGACTATTTGGCTAATAATGAAAAATAGTGTAAATGTACTTTTTTAACTAGTGGTTTTTAGTGATGATGGTTTTTAACTTGTTTTTAAACCTAGTATCAAGTTTTCTTATCTGTTAAGCTACTTTTGAAGGCCTAAATTTGGAGGAAAAAACCCAGAATTATTATTATTATTATTTTCAATTTTTTTTTTTGTAAGTCTCAAGCATGAACAACTGTCATCTCCGATTCATTAAAATGGAGAATCCGTATGTTCCCTTGTAAATGGTTGAATAAAAGGAAGTTATTGTGAATCAAATGATCATTGATAAAACAATTAATACATATGAAATTATATAAGGGAATGGTGTTGTATGCATTGCTTTTTATCTTAGTCTAGGGCTACCGGGGTAGATTCTAAAACATTGCTAATTGCAGATCATTTGATCCTTACGCTTAAGTAAAAATTGATATGTACTGTAATACACTTTGGTTATGCATGACATATTCATCCTTTGTTACATTAATTCACTTATGATTCTAGTCTATTAGCCGCTTCATCTATATATACTGCTTGGTTAGTTCTCATCTGGAAATATTTTTTTCTTATTGATTTCTAAATTTTGGTTGGTTTAAATCTTGGCAGTACTTAAATGAAAACAAGTCTTTGATTCTGAAGATTGTGGAAAGCCAGAATTCGGGGAAGATTAATGAGTGTGCTGAGTAAGCTTTATTTGCAAACTTTGGCTATTCTTACATGATTCATAATTGTGTCCCTGCTTGGTAATTTTGCAAACTAGTGCGAAATGGTTAGTACTCTAGTTTTTAAGGCAATAGGGTCAGATTAATTATCAATTTTATCATACTGATCCGTTCTTTCATTGTATGGTTAAAGGTGGTATGCAAAACGATTTCTACATCCTGACATTGTGGCACCATATGATTACATATTTATCTGGGACGAAGATTTGGGAGTGGATAATTTTGATTCTGAAAAGTTAGCACTCTTTCTACATCATATCCTCTAATGTCTTGAGCTATTCAGTACAAAACTTTTGTCATTTTTTTTATTGAATTTTCAGATACGTTGATTTGGTTAAGAAACATGGTTTGGAAATTTCACAGCCTGGTGTGGATCCTAATAGTCCGTTTACATGGCAGATGACAAGGAAAAGACATGACAGTGAAGTTCACAAGTAATAACTACTAATGATGTATAATTTATGCCCAGTTATCTTCCTTTGCAACAGAAGCAGGATTTCGATATTAATTACCAAAATATTGATCTGAGTTGTTTCTTGGGTGCACTTTGCAGGAGCACAGAGGAGAAACCAGGATGTTAAATTTCAGTTAAATTGTTCAATTTTTGCTACAAAAATGGAGAATGATTCTTCCAAGAAAATTGAAGTGTCTGCCCTAAACCCCAATTTACAATCAAGAGGTGCTTTGGTTGTATTAGAAGGGTTAGATCGAAGTGGAAAGAGCTCTCAGTGTATTCAGCTTCTCTCTCACTTGCAAAGTATTGGGTGTTCTGCTGAGTTATGGCGATTTCCGGATCGAAATACTGCTGTTGGGCAGATGATCTCTGCTTATCTTTCCAATCAATCTAATTTGGATGATCATACTATTCATCTTTTGTTCAGTGCTAATCGTTGGGAGAAAAGGTTGTTTCTTTTTTCTTTTTATGATTGTTTTTTTATACATAATTTGTGAGTTGCATACCATGTGTTTGATGTTATGTTTAGCTAAATCTAATTCCTTTCTATGTTGTTATTTATTGGTTAATTTATTTGGTAAGATCTGAGACATGGCTGTTAAACCAAATCTTAGTTTTTTCATAGCTTGCATCAGACTGTACAATTTTGGTAAGGCTGTAAGGTTAATAGGTTTGACAGTGGTGACTTTATCTTGCATAGTGTCATTATAGTGATGCCTGCAATATTATGTAGTGCAGGTTATACTAATTTTCTTTTACTTAAACATGTTCCAGTTTCTTGCAATGTTCTTTTTATTTTTGTAAATTATGTTTTTTAACTAGATTCTGTGAGATAGTTGTTGTTTCATCAAATTCCGTAATAATGCCATCTAGATTTTCATACGATGCTGAATGATAACAGATGGTTGATGCCTGCTTGCCAATGGAAGAAGTTCAGAAGAAGCTCAGAGAATATGTGCTTGAGTGTGTTGCGGCCTGCAAAAATGGAAGGGCTGTCTCACTTCTGGTCACAATAGGCAAGCTGCCATATGCCTCTTGCTCGCTTGGGCGAAATTGTATACTATAGTCAGTAATCAGTAGTTACCACGTTTTGAACTCTAGGTTGAGCTGTTGAGGTACTTCTACCTTTAAGTTTAAGTCTAGAAGTTGGAGTTGTATTATACGTTGATTTGGTTAAGAAACATGGTTTGGAAATTTTATGGGTAGGCCAAATTACAAAGGAGACTCTGCCGAAATTTACATTTGCATTATTCAATAATATTGCATTTTAATTTCAATTATATTAGCGTTAGCATATTACTTTATACCTAGGAAAACAGGTACTACAAACATATACAAGGCAATTATTATATTATAATTATAAAAAAAAAATTCACCTCATTTGCGTCACTCATTAAACAAACAAGTGACGCAAATACAGCAGTTTTGTATTGTCTACTCAGTCATTTGCGTCACTCCTATATAAACAAGTGACGCAAATAACAAAAAATAAGTTTATCTGAAGAGTTATTTGCGTCGCTCCTTTATAAAAGAGTGACGCAAATAACAAAAAATAAGTTTGTCAGAATAGTCATTTGCGTCGCTTATTTATAAAGGAGCGACGCAAATGACAAAAAATAAGTTTATCAAAAAAGTCATTTGCGTCGCTCCTTTATAAAGGAGCGACGCAAATGACTCTTATTTGCGTCGCGCCTAGGAGCGACGCAAATGACTTAAAAGTCATTTGCGTCGCGAGCAGTTGCGTCGCTCATAGAAGCGACGCAAATACACTATAAATGAGCGACGCAAATGAGCCTTTTTCTACTAGTGATAATTGATTCCACTATAGCACAACATCAAAACAAGCATCAAATCAAGCATGACAGTAAATAGGAGCTCAACTGCAGACCTAAAATTCAAAAGAAAGCCCACAAGGCTCTGAAAATCTGAACCTTTCAAAAAACCCACAGTTAATTGAACCTGGATCAACAGCCAAATCCAAGCTGCTATAGTCTAACTCACCTTCACCAAGCTGATCACAACATGTGTAGAACCTACCAACACAACCACTGCAGCTCAACCACTGATGCCATTAGCATGATGCCTACCCCTTCTGTTGCTATACCACCCAGCAGCAGAAAACAACAACCCCATCTGCAGATTTAAACCGCATTCTGCAGACCCCCCCTAAAAAAAAACCATCTGTTACAGGTCATTAGACCACAACCAAAACCACAGGCATCAGTTGAATCCACTGACTTGACCAGTAGCCCCCTGCATAGAGAAACCAACCCCCTTTGATATGTTTGCCCAGCAGTACACCTCTGAAACAGAAGGAGCAAGCAAGGTCCAAACAAAGTATGGACCCAACTCTGTACATTTTATGATTCTTTTGAGCACCCAACTGTAATTTCCAAGTGCCACATTGTTCCACCAGTCTTCTCCATGGCACTTTACGGGATTGAGGTCTCATGTGATTATACAGGGCTTTGATACTCCAATTTCAGATCCATTTGTTACATTTCATTCATAGCCCACAATAATTTGTTTTTTTTTTTATCTAATTTGTTTGAAATTGAGGATCAATTAATCTTGATTAACGTTCTTGTAAGCCTGAATTCTTAGGCATCATGGTTATCATAACTAATCATGATCATGATTATTTTTAGATGATGGTGCTTGCTGAGAATGCTGCTGATGATGATGATGATAATGATGTATGATGATGGTGATGAATGATGATGATGATTTATGATGATGATGTATGGATTTTATGGCGGAAACTTTTTCTTTTTTACTTTTTTTTTTAAAAATGTTTTATGCGAAAAATGGATCAAATTATTCTCTGGGAAATTGGATCAAATTATTTTATAGAAATTGGAACAAGTTGTTTCTTACAACTTTGCCTCTTTAACTTTGTCTCTCACTAAGTAATGGGCTTCTCATGTTGAAGTGTTGAACACATAAATTTTTCATTTTTTTAGAAATAAAATACGGTATGTTAATTGGAGTTTTTAATAATGTAATGATAAAGTTTCATAACCAATGGCGCCAAGTAAGTTTAGAATGAGCGCTTAAGTAAAATTGTTTTGGAATGTGTGTTTGTATATGTCATTAACAATTAATAGTTTTCTATTCATAAAGAAGTTTATTACGCCCAAGTAGCTTGCCATTATAGTGCTTCAAAATGAATCAGGCCCATTTAGTGTTTATTAATGCTATAGCTATGATGTCTCAATTTCCCAGAATATAAGCTAATGTATTATGCACATTATATATTGTGGCATTTACATTTTACTACTTAACTGCAGTGCGAGGGTTAGACATGTGAGACACCCATAATGGGGGTGAAGACTTTGGCGAGCGGGTGGCGACAATCATATTATAGTGTGTCGGACAGGCGAGCGGCAGTGCGAGGTCCGCACCGACAAGTTCGGGACCCCGTGAACAAGGGACAAAGCCAACGACAAGGGACTGATGGTTAGACATGTAAGACACCCTCTCGGGACTGAGGGACTGAGGCTAGTTGATCACAAGGGATCCTTGAGCACCTATCCTCGCCATTTGCCCAATCCGAGTCACCGTCATTCAACGAGTACCCTCACACTCGAAAGGATTCATCGACCAAAATGACTTAATTAAAGGGTTCAGCAAGTCCTGTTGTCCAACGTTAGCCCTCAAACGCCCTTACGGGGACATCGGGCTCGCTCGAACCCCCTCCCCACTCCCCCGAGAGGCCCAACGAGCAACATCGTACCACGAGTTGTGTCCGTCCTCGTCATCCGACGCATGACGCACAATGAAAGATATTAAAGAGTTGAGGAAGAAAAAAAATTATCAACTGGGTCACAACTGGCTATTCCACTTAGGATTTTCCCATCAGTAAGGAATCACCTTGTTAGAGACAAGGTAATAACCCGGGTTATTACCTTTTATAGTCAGTCAGGAATTTGTAGACACATTGGAGGAAAATTGAGTTTGATCTTATAGCTGGGATCACCATCTAAAGTGAAAAATTCAAGATGGTTTCAAGGAAGAGTACCTAAGCTTAAGTTTCAAACTCTGCTAGATTGTCTCCCCAGTAGCATTTGAAAGAAGAATAAGATTTCCAATATCTAAAAGCTGAGCTACTATGCACATCAACGTGCATTGATGGCAACAAGTTGATGGCAACAATGAGTGTGAAGGATGTTCCAAACTCTGCTAGATTGTCTCCCCAATAGCATTTGAAAGTAGAATATCTAAAAGTTGTGTGAAGGATGTTCCGAACTCTGCTAGATTGTCTCCCCAATAGCATTTGTAAGCAGAATATCTAAAAGCTGAGCTACTGAATTATTTGCCTGATCATTAGATATATTTGATTACCAAAAGATATTATTCTGTTCATCTAGGGCGTAAAGAGTACTATCCTCGGAAACTTTGAGCACCCCAAAAAAAGTATTGTGTAGGGTCCCTCTATGAGCGTGGGGTTCCTTAGGTGTGGGGTCCCTCTATAAGCATGGGGTTTCCTTGGGCGTTGGCCCCGCCCCTATATAAGCGTGGTGTCCCTCGAGCATGGGGTCCTCCCTAAGGCATGGGGCTTATTAGTTGGGTGTGGGGTTGGTTTGTTGGCGTGGGGTTGGTCCTAGGGCGTGGGGTTGGTTTGTTTAGGGTTTCTCCTTGGGCGTGGGGTTCTTCCTTGGGCGTGGGGTTGGTTCGTTTAGGGTTTCTCCTTGGGCGTGGGGTTCTTCCTTGGGCGTGGGGTTTCAAGATGGGTGTGGGGTTTCTTCCTTGGGAGTGGGGTTCTTCCTTGGTCGTGGGGTCCCTCTTTAAGCGTGGGTTTTGAGCTTAGGCGTGGGGTTTTTGGATGGGTGTAGGGTTGATACATTAGGCGAGGGGTATTAGGATGGGCGTGGGGTTATTCCTTGGGCGGGGGGTTTGAGGTTAGGCGTTGGGTCCCTCTTAGGCGTGGGGTTCTTCCTTGGGCGTGGGGTATGAGATTAGGCGTGGGGTTTCATCTTGGGCGTGGAGTTTCTTCATTGGGCGTGGGGTTTTTCTTCTAGGGCGTGGGGTCAATCATTGGGCGTGGGGTTGATACAGTAGGCGAGGGGTTTGAGTTTTGGGTGTAGGGTTGATACAGTAGGCGTGGGGTTTTTCCTAGGGCGTGGGGTTTCATGATGGGCGTGGGGTTCTTCCTTGGGCATGGAGTTTGAGCTTCGGCGTGGGGTTTCTCCTAGGGCGTGGGGTTTCATGATCGATGGGCGTGGGTTTCTTCCTTGGGCGTGGGGTTTGAGCTTCGGCGTGGGGTTTCTCCTAGGGGGTGGGGTTTCTTCCTTGTGCATGGGCAAGGGGTCGTGTGGCGCATGCGTCGCCTGGTTGAAAACGGGTAGACTCGAGTTTATGAAATCGGTGCAAGTTGTAAACGGATAAATTAATAGTTTGAAGGTATATTGGATGGTTTTACCTGTCCAAATGGACTCACGGGTGTATTAGGGTCCATGGGAAACATCTCGGCAATTTTTATTTCCGGGTCTAAAAAAGTGAAAAATTGTCTAGAATTGAAGGCTATAATACACGATTTCGAGTGATTTTTTGACATTTTTTCGAAAAATGAACTGAATACGTGGGGTGACTCTCGGGGTCATATAAGGTGGTTTGAAACCATAACACACCTATAAAGATGTCTATAAAATACCAAGAATGTGTTATGTTTCTATTTTGAAATTTTTGAATATAATGATGTCACAAAAGTATGTTGAAGAGATCGATAGTACTTGATAATAATGATGTCATATGAATATAATGATGTCATAAAATTATATTATGATGTCATAAAAGTATATTAAAGTAATGTGACTTGACAATAATGATGTCATATAAGTGTATTGGAGTGATGTGACTTGACAATAATAATGTCATGTGAATCTAATGATGCCA